AATACTCCTGAACAGTTGTAGGTTAATTAATATGTTTGAATTTGAGTAATCATTTGAAAGCCTTTCCGTTTAGTATTATGGATTATTCTTTAAGTTATTTTTTTAAAAAAGCTCTCATCTCTCAATTTAATCACTTCACAATAACAAATTGAGTTTTATTTAGTTAATTCATTTCAATATTACTACTAATGTACTTTTTGGTTTCTATTCCTAATGACAGTATGAATTTATTTTTCCCAGTTTGTTGTGTTTTGCTTTCTTATTTGTTTTGAAAATTTTCTAATATCCATAGTTCTTTATAAGTTAACAAAGTTAACAAAGTATTCTTGTTTATTGTTATACTCCTTCATTCTACTCACCTCTCAGAAACTTCAAGTGGTAAATAGCTGAAATTTATGGCATTAGTTAAACTATAGGAAAAATAAAACCTCTTTATGGAATTTAACTCTTTTAGACTATTAGGAGGTACTAGATTTTCTGAAACAAAAATTACGTACATGACTCCTTCTAGATTTGTATTATCCCGTATGGTAACAACTAGCCTCATGTGGCTATTTAAATTTAAATTAGATAAAATTTAATAAAATTAAAAATAATTAATCAGGCACACTAGCCATAATTTCAGATGCTCAAAAGCCACATGTGGTTAGTGATGACCATATTGGACAGAGCAGATATAGAACATTTCCATCATCACAGAAAACACCACCGTGTAGTGCCATTCTTTCTAGATTACGATATAGGATATACACCAAGATAGTTGATCTCTTTCTTTTGTCTTTTTTCCTGCAGTAACCCCAGTGATTATAACAATGATTGCCACACAGTTAGTGCTCAATAAACATTTGTCGAAAATTGAATGAATTAAATAAATGACCGGAAAGCAGGAAGCATGTTGTTTCGGTCATAGAATTTTTATGGAAATTTCAGTTTAAAAATTAGGTTCAGATTCAGGGAGGTTTTATGTAGAAAATATTGTATAATTATATAAAGTTCATGAAGCAGGAAATTGGCCTAGATTTTTTGAAATAATTTTCTATGCTTCTTTCCAATCCTTATCAGCAATAGACTATCATATTTAAAAGTTGATTCATTTCT